GGTATAGCTCAGTCATACAGCTGGAACTGCTTATTAGCCCTTTCACCCTAGGCTGAGTCTCCATCAAACACTGCTTCTTACCCCTCCTCCACTCTTCTCTTCTTCCTCATCCCCTTCCTCTTCTCATCTCCCTCCTCCTCTTCCTCATCTTAGTCCTCCTCCTTCCCTGCCTGCCTCCTCTTCCTTATCTTCCTCCTCCTCCTTTGAAATGTGACATTGGAGACTGAACCAGGACCTTGTAAACGCTAGGCATTAGCTACATCACTGAGTTACAATCCATCTCTGCTTTTTTGTTTCTTTGAATTCATTTTTTTTTTTCAAAACAAGTGTTTTTAGTTAGTATTTCCTATTGCCTTGCTGGCTGTTGTAATTTGAGGAAGGAACTTGCTATGACCATTATGAACCTGTGTATACAACTCTCATAGGTAATATGTGATTCTACTTATTCCTACTTCTGTCTCAGTGAGTACAACATAGCTGATCTTCAACTACTGCATAGCTAATTAAGTACAATCCCTAAACATTCGTTATTACTGAATCAAATTTTCTTCTAGGGAAAATGTGATCTTCTACCTTCTGTCTCTAAACAGAATGTATTCTTCCCTTTAGAAGAACCACATGCAAAGGTTTTCTTATTCCCTAGGAAGCTGACTGTGAGGGTAGAACTTAGCAGCAGGTACTGTAGTCTATTTGGGCTGTGATTCCAGAGGGACCAGAAGAGAAAAGAGCAAGGAGATCAGAAAGGTAGAGAAGAAGAAAGGAAAAGGACAGATGGAGGAGGGAGGGAGGCAGCTAACACAGGATCGTCTCCCTGAGAGATGATTGCTGTGGGTAACTAATGTTCAAAACTGGTGGCCCCCAGGAAACTAGAAGAGTTTACCATAGTCCCATGTCCCAGTGAGGGAGCTGGAGTGTGCTGTTCCATCTTCTGGGGAAGGCCTGCTCTGAAGGGCTTCACTGCCTGCCACTTGTGGCTTGCCCCTCTGTACTAATCACAGTGGTCTTTAGAACTCAAGGAAGGCCATGATCACAGGAGGACAAAGGGAGAGACGTGACCAGGTGTTTTTGTCAGAATCCTTAAGCCAAGTCTGGCATGGCAGTATAATCTTTTAATTTCAGGATTTGGGAGGCAGAGGCAGGTGGATCTCTGTGATTTCAAAATCAGCCTGGTCTCCATAGTGAGTTCCAGGCCAGCCAGGGATTTGTAGTAAGGTCCTATCTCAACAACGAGAACCAAAGCAAAGCTCCAACACAGTGAGTAGAGAGCGGTTATCCCTCTCCGTTTCTGCTACAGTCATCTTTGAGCTCCAATCCTGTTTATTATCATTTTTAAAAAAAATTTTTTTTTTTATTTATTTAGGGATGGGTGCTCTGTCTGCATGCATGCCAGAGAGATGGTTGTGAGCCATCATGTGGTTCCTGGGAACTGAACTCAGGACCTTTGGAAGAGCAGCCAGGGCTCTTAACCACTGAGCCATCTCTCCAGTCCTGTCGTTTTTGAGACAGAGTTTCTGTGTTTAGCAGTGAAACCCTGTCTCAGAAAAACAAAAAAATAAAAACAAAACAAAATTTATCATTTTACATCCTGACTTCAGTTTCCCCTCCGTCCTCCCGTCCCAGTTCTCCCCTCCCTCCTCCCCTCCCTCCTCCCCTCCCCGCAGCACTTACCTTTTTAAAATACATGAAATTCGGTATCTGAAAAGAGATGGTGTCCTGGCAAATTTTCTGTCAACCCATCCCAACCTAACCCCAACCCAACCCAACCCAATCATGAAAACGCCTCCACTAGATCCAGCTGTAGACAAGACTGTAAGGCATTTTCTTAATTAGTGATTGATGAGAGAGGACCCAGCCCATTGTGGGTGGTGCCACCCCTGGGCTGGTGGTGGTCCTGGGTTTTGTAAGAAAGCAGGCTGAGCAAGCCAGTAAGCAGCACCCACTCCGTGGCCTCTGCATCACCTCCTGCCTCCAGATTCTGGCCCTGTTTGATCCTGTCCTGACTTCCTTCAGTGATGGACAGTGATATGGAAATGTAAGCCTATAAACCCTTTCTCCCAGGTTACTGGTCATGGTGTTTCATCACAGCAATGATAAACTAAGAGCAATGGCTTCCTTTTAAAACAGAGCAGTGAACACCCTGACATAGACCAGCCCAGGAGCTAAGGAGAAGAGGACTTCTGAGATTCTTCATAAGCTGTCTAGGAAAGAGATATTTCAAGGAGTATTTCATACATTGACATGGAGAAACTGTAAGGCTACATTATCCTCTGCATCTAGCAAGGCTTTTGTTCTTTCTTCCATGAGACATGAGTAAATATTTTCAAAGGCTTGCTCATTTTTTTTTGATCTGTTTTATTTGTTTACTTATTTATTTTAAACACAGGGGCTCACTATGTAGCCCAGGCTATTCTGCAGCTCAGTTTGTAGACCAGGCTAGCCCTGAATTCAGTCAACTTCTTTGCTCAGCCTCCAAAGGATTGGGGTTGCTGGTGTGTGCCACCAGGGAGGCTTGACAGTGTTATACACTGTAAAGGGAAGTGGAGAACAGGATATTATTTAGGAATCAGATACTACATAAGGGTTGACTCGACCTTCAGATTGGAGTATTTTCCAGAAAGCAGCTGTATGGAATTGTCGCTACTGACTTTTCGTGACTCTTAATGCAGATATTTGAGACAAGGGTAAGGGCTTATCTGCGGGAGGGTACATTTCTCCTAAAAAGAGAATTCTCAAGATCATCATAATTACACAAAGAGGAGAATGTGCCAGACAGGAGTGGGTGGGGGTGTTTTTGTGGTTGGTTGTAATGTCTTCAAGATTCCTATCCTAAAAAGAGACTTTTGAATATCCAGGAGGCTAGCGACAGACTCCAGGATGCCGCGTTGGAGTCACCAGCAGGTGAGGGGCCCAACGGACCCCTAGTCGGTGGCCGTGTGCTGCTGGGATCTCATGCTCGATTTTATGCGCGGCATCCTGGCGGGACCGCGCGGGCATGCGCCCCGCTGCTAGTGAGTCCAGGGCCTCCCTCTCGCAGCCGCCGGAGCCACCGCCCTTCCCTGCGGATCCTTTATCTCTTTGCTACCTTTTCCAGTAGCTGCCTCTACCTCAGATCGTCCCCCACCACCCCCCGCCCCCCGACATTCCAGACCCAGCAGGGCCCCCAACTTAAGAAACTGCTTTTAAGGGAACTAATGGACCAAGAGTTCTCAGCTTGCCTTTTTGCAGAGGGTTGCCCTGGCACGCAAGTGAAGTCCAGCATCTAGCAAGGGTGGAGGACCGACCTTGGAGAGGGCATCTCTCTGATCCTGGGATGCGATCATCCGGGTTTCTTTTGGCCAGGGAACTTTGAGCGCTAACTCTCGGGGAAGTTGGTTACAAAGTTTCCTAGCGCGAATTCATTGGTCTCTGGAGGGGGGAAACACTGGGCCCACTGCGGACCCGGGACCCGGGACCCTGGAGGTCAGGAAGGAAGCTCCGTCACAGCGTCTTTGTTCTGCCCTAGGGAAGAGACCTGGGAAGCACTGGTAGGGTGATTGCAGGGATCCACAATCATGACATTCTAGACCCAGAAAGGGTCCCTTACTACCCACCCTTCACATCCTCCATTCTAGTTAGGAACACTGCTCCCAAAGCCTCCTTTCACCCCATCTCTTTACCCTCAAATTTAAGCCCACCGAGGCCCCATGTCCGGACTTGGGGAAAGCAGTAGTAAATAAGAAGGGGCGCAGTAGTGGGGATGCCAGCAGAAGGTTGTGTATTTGCTTTGGAAAGTTTTTGTGCTCCCCCCCCCCCCCCCCCCCCGCTTTAACTCACTTTGTCCTAAAGACTGATTCATTATAAAGGCCGCCCCTCCCTCCACGTTCTCCCACCTTCCTGCTTTTTTCTTCAATTCTGGTGAGATCTAGAAAGAAAATTGGCGCTGCTTTGAGTTCCTTAGCGAGTCAACCACGTAGAGGTGAGAGTCGAACATTAAGGGGTTGTAAAGATGGGGCCCTCAGTTCTTCTTCTTGCAGAAGACTTGAAGAAAGGTTGAGAGACATCCCAGATTCGGAAGACACCTGGCTTGCCAATGACCCGAAGGTGGGGGAGGGGATGCAGGGTTGGAACACACCAGTTACAGAGGGTAGAGGATGAGGAGTTAGAAGTAGGGAGGAGGACCCTGTAGCTGTGAAGGGAAAGGAACCAGGGAGGTACGCTAGGCCTAGGGGTGGAGGGAGCCCTGTTAACCTGAGAGTCTTGTTAATACAGTTGGAGAGGAGAGGAAGTTCCCTGGAGTTTGAGAGGGTGGTGGAACCCGAGTGAGCCCTGGAATGAGTAGCATAGTATCGGGAGCAACAGGTAGCCTACAAGGGCTGGGTATAGGTCCCTCTGGTACCCTTATTGGCCTCTGCCAGGCAAATTTGAGTGCTTTTCCCTGGGGTCGTGTGTGGGCACTGGTGGGGGAGGAAGAGGAGAATTTCCCATCATTTGAATTCTCCCAGCGCCTTTGAATTCTCCCAGCCCTTTGGGTGGAGGAAGATGAATAGGAGTGGAGGATTGCGGATGGAGAGGCTCCTCTGAACCCCACCTCTGATTGTACCTCTTATCTTAAAGGGTTGACCTGGATCCTTCACATTATGTCTCTTGGGATGCTGAAAAACGGCAGAAACTCATTGCCAAAGTAGGTGTCTCTCCCTGATTGGCAGGGAAAGTGCAAACAAAGAGGTGCATCTCCCGGAAACAATGAGTTTGGAGAGTTCCCTCGGGCGTGAGAGCGTAGACTGAAGGCTGGGTGTTCAAAGGGTGTGTGGGAAGGGACCCGGACCGCATCTCCAGGGCAAAGTTTTCCGGGAGGTAGAAGGAGAGAGGGTCCGGACTGAGTTGCTGGTGCTTGGGGACAGAGCCGCCTGCGCTGCGCACCAAGGCTTGGAGCGGGGCGGGAGATGCGGGGAGAGGGAGGGGGCGGGGAGGGAGGGGAGGGAGAGAGGAGGAAGGGGTGAGAGGGAGAAACCTGCCGCGGCTCTCCGCCTCTTTGTCTGCTCTGGGACTTGGAACAAAAGGGGGAACTCTGATGAACTCCTTCTCCCGCTCCCTGGACGCCTGGGTATGTCCCTCTCACAACTTTGTCAACGCGACTTTCTCCGCTGTCAGGCTGCGCAAAAGTGTCCCAGCGCCTCGCAGGCTGCAACAATGGAAACAATGTCCCTTCAAAGTGCGACGAAGTGGGGGAGAAGGTGAGTGACTTGTCCTGTTTACCCGGCTCCCTTCAGGTCGCCAGGCTCCCAGCCCTTCCGAGGGCAAAGTCGTAGATCCAGTAGCCAAGTTTCACTGTTTCTTTCTTTTTTCTTTTCTTTTCTTTTATTGTATCTCTTTCCCCGGTTCTCCCTTTCTTTTGTTCTTTAAGGCTCTTGTACAGATTTTTTTTTTTTAATTTGAAACACGGTCATCTCATGTGCTTCTTTGGGGGGTAGTGGTGAGGGGCTGGGGAGAAGGGCATCCAAACGGGCTCTGCCTCGCTTTCCTCCAGTTGTGAGTGTAGATTTGAGGAAAACATTCTGATAAGGATGGGAACTAGATTAGGCTCACCCGCACCCGAGCCCGGACTTTGGTCATGAAAAAGGAAGAGATGCAGAGGTGGGGGTCATTTCCTCACGCGTTTTCAAACTTCACTGTCTGACGAGCGCTCTGGAGACATGAAGCTTGCAACAATAGAATACAGAAGGGGTTTGGGTGGTAAGGGGGGTTCTAGAAAATTGATAGGAATGCTGGAAGTTTTCTTGGTGGCTAGGGTCCGGTGGTGGAAGCCACAGGTTCCAGACTGTCAAGAGTTGCGCAGATGAAGTGGATGGGGCCTGGACCATCAGTTCGGAGTCCGCTCCCCTCACCTCCCTGGTCTGGTTCAGTTTTATGACCCACCCAGAATGACCTACTGCTATCCTTGGGATCCATCCTCTTTTCCGTGGTAGAGACCCCCCCTCCCCCGCCATTTCAGTGAGTTTGAATAGAAAGGGGACCACGAGCCTGCAGAGCTCCCCTGACCTAGCCCTCCGCCCCGCCTTTTGTGTTTTAACCTTTTGTTTCTATCGGGCCACACCCGCCAAAAAGAGCGGCGGCTTTTCGTCTCCGCTCTGCGGGGAAGCAGCGCAGTTCCCTCCAGTTAGTGGTGAAGGTTGGCTTCCTAACTTTGTTTCCCAAGTCCTCTAACTTCAAAAGCTTCTGGGTTGGTTCTTGCTTGGTAAGTCAACATCTTCACTTGATATGAAATTTCTTTTGCTGCTTTTCTACTTCGTTCCAAAAGTTGTTTATCTCTACCGGTCACTTTGCGAACCTAAAAAAGATAACTTAGAGACCTAATTTGGGGTTTGTCCAAAGGACAAATGTTGGCTTTATCTGTCGGATGTCTTTAAATATGACGCTGTCTTGATTCTGCAACAGAAAACCAGGCCCATCATCTTCAGGTATGTTTTGTGGGATCGGTCCAAATACCAAGGTAATTTATCACCTTCTCTACTGTCTTCCAATTGCTGGAGGTGCTCTCCAAGCTCTTGGAACCACTCTTAACAAAACAACTGAAACACCCGAACCCAAACCAGTGTCCATAACTCCAGGAAGCATCCAAACAGAGCCTTAACTTCTGAAAGTGACCATTCTGCAAGGTGCCAGAGCTGTGGAGCCTTGAATTTTCATGTCAAAGACTGAAATGGATTAAGATGATGACAGTCTTTCAGGAAGGGAGTGTATAGATTGGCCTGTGAACTCACCTTAATAAATTCTAATTATATAGGTGTCATTACCAGCGTTTCCAAGTGTCATGTCATGCTTGGCCAGAGTGCTTCCTACTGATCTGCCTTCGAATTGTTCTTATTGGATATATACTTCTCAGCCAGTGGCATGGAGATGCCACCACCCCAGCAAGTTAGCCGTGGACAAAATACTATCAATTTCTTTCTTTGGAGTTTCTTCAGTTAAATTGTTGGGATTTTGGACAATGCTTTCCTTATGTGGATTATTGCAGCTTGATGACTGGGAATTCTCCACGTATAGAAGGTATGTTTCTTAGACACGCACAAGCACTTCATTCTGGGCCTCATACTGAATGCCACTGGTGACCTGTCTCCTTGTTTTGAGTGGCTGCCTCACCAAGTAATTTATGACTTTATGTTTCCTTCTTGGGGACTGTGTTTTGTAGCTCTTTTCTCAAGTAGGATGATGATTTGGGTGTGTGTGATGAAAGTTTATTGATTTTTTTACAATGTGTCTGTCAATATCTGCACATATAATGAATGTTGATTCATGTAGATTTATGTATATTTTATGTCAGCAATGGGTCCAGTGTGTCCAACAGTCCTTGTTTTATTTGTGGCTGATTTCCTCCTTAAATACCAGAGTGGATAATTCTATTTTAACAGAACTTATGTAGCTTGAATTACATTATTACTATCATCTTTATTATTATTATTATTGTATTATTTGTATATTTACAGTTCATTTTGGTAAACAAAATCCACAAGTGGTCCCAAATAAATGAATTTCTAATGGCAGGGTATCAGGACAAAGCGCAACAATTTCTCTTAGAATGGAAGATTTGGCCATGCCATAATCAAAGGGCATGATGCTTTGTCTACTCTTCATGGCAGATTACCAAGATTTTATATTCCTTTTAAAATGCTTTACAGTTCATTTCTGTTCATTTCTGGGCATGCAACTAAAAATTCTCATCTTCTCAATGGCATCATATAGGGTTACTTTCGTATATCATTCTTTGCCCTGTTGAAGCAGTGGTTTGTTCTAGAAACTCATAATTTGGATAAAAAATTTCATTGGAAATAGCTTTATCCCAATATGAGTGAAATAGAGTGATTTTTGGTTTTGTGTAAAATTAGGCTTCCAAGCCTTCCCGAGCTTCTCTTTATCGTCTGTAAGACGAAGGTTTAAACAAACTTCCGAAGTCCTTTGTCTTGATGAGTGCTTCAGTCGTTCCTGAAACTTAGATACTTAGATCTTTTCTTGTGAAGTTTATTTTCGAGTTGTTAAACAAGAGAGGGCTGGTGTTGGAACCTCATGACTATGTTTCAATGCTGCAGAGTAGACTTTCAGCAAAGTGTGCTAGACAGAAGTGTCCGCGGTCCCTCTGTTTCACCAAAAGTTTATCTGTCAGAATACTTTTCTGGACACAGAGAGGAGCGTGCCACTCCTAAGAAGAGTATTACCCGTCGGAAGTTACTGTATTGGAATTTCGTTTAATGGCCACCCAGTGTTGGGCTCGAAGGTTTAGACACAGGCTTTGGAATGAGTCCCAGCCTAGGCAATTACTCTCTGTCATATCTTGCCTATGTTGCTTGATTTTCTTGGGTTTTCTGTAGTTTTGTCATTTATAAAGTAGGCATCCTAACACCTGTCCCATAGGAGTGTTGTGAGAAGCATACATATAGGGCTGGGGATGTCCCTCAGTTGTAGAGTTCTTGCCTAGAGTTCATGCATAAGACCCTGGGTTCAATTGCCAGCACTACAAATCACAAGAGAACCCCAAGAGCATATATGTCTGAAAAACTTATAACATGGGGCTCAGAATTAATGAATTAATGGTACTGTTACTGGCTTCTACAATGAATTAGTGGTGTTTGAATGCCTCAAACTTTCTTTCTTAACTGTCTTATAAAATACAAACCATGCCCAACAGAACTATTCACTAAAATAATCAAAATTAATTTGGAAGGAAGTGTGCACATGCTTGAGCATGCCTTTCTCTTAAGAGCATATTCTGTCCAGTTCTGTTGTCTAATCAATTGCAGACTAATTTGCTTCAGCAAACACCGGTTAAACACTGCTTTGAGCCAGGCTGCTGCTGAGGAACCAAGCTTCACCCTAGAATGAGTGGCTCTTCATTCCCAGGTAGAATGACTGTCAGTTGAGACGATAGTGACTTCTAGAATTTGTTTACTCAGATTCTGTCTTTGGTTTTTACCTTTATTTATTTATTTTGTGTGTTGGGGCCAGCATGTGTGTGTGGCGGTCAGAGGACATCTTGCAGGAGCCCATTGATTGATTCTTAATGCTTGTAGTTGGCTAGGGATCATACTCAAGTCCTCAGGCTTTGTGATAAGTGAGTGCCTTTATTGGATGAGCCATCCTGCCTGTCTAGTTTACTCCGATTGTCTACTTTGAAAGCTGTTAATGATGAGTGGTCTTTGAGATCGCTTTAAAATTTGGGGTTTCTGAAGATGTAACTCAGTTCACACAGTCAGTGCTTGCCTAGAACTATGTTAATCTAGTTGTGTGACTCATGGCTGTAACTGTAACACTCACCTGGAGGATCTGAAGTTCAAGGTCATCTTTTATTACCAATTTGAGTTTGAGGCTAGCCCAATCTACATGAGACCCTGCCTAAAAAAAAAAGCCAGGCAGTGGTGGTGCACGCTCTTATCCCACTGCTTGGGCGGCAGAGGCAGGTGGATCTCTGTGAGTTCGAGGCCAGTTTGGTCTACAAAGAAACCCTGTCTTGAACCCTGTCCCTCCCCTTCCCCAGTATTTATTCACTAATCAGCTAAAATATAAAAGTAATGGCTTCATGGGTTATCAACCTGGAAGTCAAGAGCTGTCACACATCTGAGTGCAGTTTTTACTGAACGGTCTTCATTTGAATAGAAACTTAGGGTTTGCAGGAATGGTGCTCAGTAGAACAGGGGTTCTTTCTAAAATGAAGCTGTACATCTAGATCTGTGCCTCAGCAGGTTGTGGTGCCTTCTGCATGTGACTTTTAACCTGGAGAGAGATTACAGACCCCTTTTTATCCTTCAGGAAGTTTCGGATAGAAATACCAAGGTATGGCTTCTTCTCATTTGTGTTCTATTAGCAGGTAGTTGCCTAGAAACAATAATATTAGCTAGGGTAGGACAGAATATGAAATGTGAATATTAAAGTAGGAAAATATCTCCTAAAATATTATATTCAAAACTGTCATAAACATTCATTTAGTCAGTTGCCCACCAGCCACTAATAGCTGGAAATATGTCATAAAGTTTCTCTGTATTTTGGTCATTGAAATTATTACCAGGTTTACTTTAAAGTAGTTGGAGTTTTACACTTTGGGCGTTTAGCATGGCTAGGACTGCATCCGCCTAGCTTACAACGATTCCCAGGCGGTTCCTAATAAACTCATATAGGAAGCAGGTTTGACTGTTCACCTGTGCTGTCTGCAAATGGTGACTCTAAAGACTTCACAAGTAGTGAAAAGTGTTTGCTCAGCTTTGGTTTTAAAGTCTGGGAGGTTGGTAGCTGAGCCATTTGCTGGGCCCTGAGCTGGGCTATTCGCTGGGTCCTGAGCTGAGTGAGCCATTGGCTGGGTCCTGAGCTGGGCCCTGAGTCTTAGCTCTGCTTATTGATTTGCTCAAAGTTTTTCTAGACACCTACTTGTATCCCCAAATTTACTTTGATTTCTTTGTAAAAAAGTTGTTTTTAAAAAATTACATTTACTTATTTATCGTGTGTGTGTGTGTGTGTGTGTGTGTGTGTGTGTGTGTGTGTGTGTGTGTGTGCATGTGTGCGCGCGCACACACACTCCGGAGTTTGATGTTATGCATGCCTGAGGGTACCAGAAGAGGATGTTAGATAACTAGGGCCCTTGGAAGAGGAGTTATAGGTGGTTTAGTCCCTCTCCCATGTGGGTGCTCAGAACTGGATTTGGAATCTCTGTAAGAACAGTAAGCTTTCCTAACCAGTGAGCCATCTCTTCAGTACCAGATTTGCTGACTTTTATAATGTCATCCATCTCTAAGAACTTAGATGGCATTCCTGCCTATTGTTGTTTAGACTGGGAATTAATCCTAGGGCCTGGTGCTTGCTGGGCTGAGCTACACCCTCAGCCACCTGTCCATTATTGTCAAAGATGCAGATGTTTAGAGGTATATCATGAATCTGGGAAGCCTACATTGTTCATCTCTCCTTTCCTCATTCCTTGTTTCAACTACTCTTGTGAGTGCATTCTGTGTGCTGAGTGATGTTACAAGCTTTCAGGACACAGGTATGAAGATCATCGGTAAAATCCTGTACTTCTGAAGCTCTTACTAGTGACGACAGTAAAATATACATTCAAAGGAGGATGTTACTATTGAGAAAAACGAAGCAGGAAGGGAGATGGGAGTGAGAGGGGAGAGGTTGCTGTTTTCTGCAGGCTGCTCAGGAATGGCCTTATCAGGAAGCTAACCTTGAGGGAGGATAGGAAGGGAGGAAAGGAAAGCTCCTCCTAGCAGGGTGGCAGGCATCCAGGCTGAGGCAGGGACAAGAGCCTGACTTGTCAAGGCAAAGCCAGGGGGAGTGGAGGGCACACAGGAGACAGTAGTGAGATGAAGTATGGGAGGAAACAGGAATGTGGACAGATAGCAAGGGGCCTTGGAGGACAGAGTGGTACAGTTTATACCAAGGGGACAGGATGCCGCTGAAGAGTTTCAGACATCGTATGACCTGACATCACTGAAGTTGCCACAGAGTGACTCTGGTTGAGGGATTAAGGCCAGAGCTAAGATGTGTAAGATGGAACCAGGGAGACCCTCAAAAGCTACTGTACTTATCCTGCTGCCAAAATGGTGGCCAGAACAGTAAGGTAGAGGGAGCCTAGAGGGTCGGGGTGGGTAAGAGCCAAATCCTTGGTATATGTTAGAGCTAAAATTGGAGGGTTGTCCTGGTATAGTGGATGGAAGATAGAGGAAGAGAGGAGATACATAGGATTCTAAGACTTCCAGCCTGAGCCCAAGAGGAGGCAGAAAGTCCTTAACCAAGGTGAGGGTGAACTAGAGGCCAGAAGAGGACACCTTGTACCCTGCTCTATCATCACCTTCAACCTTATTCTCTTAAGACAGGGTCTCTCACTGAACCTGGAGTTGCACTGGTGGCCAGGAAACCAAACACACAGCTGTGCCTGGCTTTTTACAGGGGTTCTGGGAATTCAAACTCAGGTTCTCACACTTGAGTAGCTGGCACTCTTACCCGGTGAGCCATCTTCCCAGCCCAAGATATAGACACCTTTAAAGCAGCTAAGCTGTCTGAGAGAC